GAGGGACATCAAGCTAAGCCTAGGACACTAAACTGAACAGTGTGGGTCACTTCACTTATTCTGGGGAGTGTGGGAAAATGGTCAGATGAGCCATTCTCTATACCAGTAAGCAAGACATTAAGTTGGCTGGACAAGTGAACTGATCTAGGGGCAGAATACCCCATACAGCAATACCATGTGAGATACCCTGTCTCAGTCCCATCTGTTTGTTGATTGTAGCATATCCTGTAGTACATAATCCGTACTGTCTGTCTCTGCACAAACTAAGCAGTAAGATAACTGACGTAACTGGCCTTCCTCTCTTGCACAAGGGTGAATGCTGCCTATGAAGCGCCCACCTATGACGAGGTGATGACCATGTCAGCTCCAGCAATATGGACGATTACATCCAACCCAGGCCCAGTGCCCTCGCCGCTGAGCGACCCTCCTCCTTACAGCGTCGTTATAGAATCCTCTAGCCAACAAGAGATTACGGTGGAGGCTCTCCGAGTGTCGGTGCCACCAGACACAAGGCCCACCTCTGAGACAGACACGGGCTCCAGGATACAGCTGCAGCTAGTGTTGCCCCCAAGACCGCAGAGGTTTGTTTCGGACATCCATGAGGACAGAGATATTGAAGACAGGTTTGAACCATTAGAACCACTCACTCCACCACCTGCTTATGAGAGTGCCATCAGTGATGAGGTCTTTGAAGATGCTTGCCAGCCCTCTGCATTAGGATTAATTTCACCTTCTATGAATACAGAACCAAACCCTCACCCTAATACAGAATGATCCTAGAAAGAAGGTGAAAGGGTTGAGATTTTTCATGCCTGAAACTGTAAAAGTTTGTCTCACCATTCTTTGAAACAGAATTGAACTACTGACACAGCTTCTGATGTCACTAGAATCTTTTTGCACAAAATAAAAATCAATGCAATACCACAATGCTTTGACTTGGCAGATACATAAAGCAACTGTGAGGAAAGCTGTGTTATACATGGCAACATTCTCAAACTGAAGATACACCTTTATGGGGGAAAAGAGTAAATCATGAGAAGAGACAAGGTTATCAAAGGACCTCTGAAGAAGGACTGTAAGATGCAGCCAAAAGAATCTGCCTGGGCAAGGGGAGGAATAGAAACAGCACTAAGCACGTTCTGCCTGTGCATTACAAACAGCAATATTGCTGACAGCTGTGTGGTCATCAGCCACCCTGAAATCCCTACAGAGAGACCAAGCCTGCACTTCCCTGAGTTGCTGTTTTGCAGCACCAAAAAATTTATGGTCTATGCTGTTTGTTGCTGCCCCTCTGCCACGCCTGCGCCACATCCTCAGCTGAGCTGCACTGGAGCATGACTGAGGGGAGGGTGGCTGAGGGTTGAAAAGCTGAAGGCAAGCATGGCACCATGAAATGACTTCTGTTCTTCACAAGGTTCTCACCCCACACAGCCAGTGGTGTACAAGAGGGGGATAAGTCTTCCTCCTATAAGAGAGACCAGCAGTGGGATACACACACATATAAGCATCCTCTGCCTAGATCAGTAGTCTTGGTGGCTCTACAGCAGGGTGTGTGTCTCTGCTGTACTACAGCCCCTAACAGATGGCTTGAGATACTTTATTGTCATTGTGGCAAGGACTTGCACAGAAAGGCCAGAGCTCCTGCAGTTCTCTGTAACTCAGTTCACTGTACTCAGAGGCTTCTCTCTGGACTCTGGAAAGGTCCAGTCTGTCTGCTGAGGCCGGAGCTGCAGCAGAGAGCACCTGAGAATAATAGTCCCAAGGCACAAGCGGTCTTCATCATGATGGCTCCAGGCTGGAGCCAGGTTTTAGCTCTCACTGATCAGTGGTGCTGTGCAATCTCTTAAAATGGGTGAGTTAAATTGATAACCTCTGCAGTGTCAAAAGGGTCAACAGTATGCAGAGACATTCATGTCTGGTGAATGTCCAAATTAAAAAATAAAAGTAAAAATGGTGATCCGAATATCGTCATGAAGGAGAGCAGCAATCATCACAGCCTTGCTCTTATGAGTGCATCATCTTGAATTCCTATGAGGAACCATCAAACCGCAGCTAGAAGCAAACAAATTATTTCTTATATTTTGATTCTTTATAGTTCAAAGGAAAAAAAAAAGACTATGTCGTTTATAAATAAACAGGACTGCATTCAAAATTCCTGGTGGCATCATTTATATTTCCTCCCAAAATGACCACAAAGCCGTGGCTTTGGCTCACATTCTGCTGAATTGATAATCTTGGCTTAGAAAAAGGAGACGTATTCCATTTCTGAATATACGGCTACCTCACTTTAATATCATTGGTGATGAAGCACGTATGATGCCTCTATCATAGAAGTATTGTGAGAGACAAATATGCTGGTAGAAGCAAGGTGATTTCTTTAAAGCCAATCACTATTTGCATTTCCCTCCTCTATCTCCAAACAGAAAAGAACAAACCTCACTAAAAAACGATATGGGTAGACAACATGGGCATAGAAACTTTGAGTCTTAAACAGGCCAACTCTGCATCAAACTGCCAGGAGTGAGGAAGAAATTGAGGTAACCACGACAGATTAAAAATTGGCCAAAACAAAGACCAAAAATGCCACAAGTTATGACCACTTGGATTTTGTATTCAGCATCTGTAAGGGTTTTCAAGCCTTTGGACTTGTGTTAAGCTTTAGCATGTGGAACTCTTGCACACCAGGGAGCAACCATCTGAAGCTTTACATGACGTTTTTGTAAGTCCTATAAGGACAGCTGTGGGAGCTGGGGATGTTCAGCCTGAAGAAAAGGAGTCTCAGGGATGACCTGAAAGATGGTTGTAGCCAGATTGGGATGGGGGGGGG